GTGGGTTAACCTGCCAAGCTACTGAACTTGCTGATTGAAAGATCGCAGGTTTGAATCTGAGGAGCTGCATGAGTTCCCGCTGTTAGCCCCAGCTTCTGCTAACCTAGCAGTTCGAAGACATGCAAATGTAAGTGTGAGTAGATCAATAGGTACCGCTTCAATGAGAAGGTAATGGTGTTCCATGCAGTCATGCTAGCCACATGACCTTGGAGGTGTCTACGGACAACGGTGGCTCTTCAGCTTAGATAGAGATGACCATCAACCCCCAGAGTTGGACACAACTGGACTTAATGGTAGGGGAAAAATCTTGAACTTTAAACCTATATTCCATTTTACCTCCCCGGAGGGACTCGGAGCAGATTACAATACATGTAGGAGGCAAACATTCAGTGCCTTTTTTACACACACAGTGAACAATGACATAGAACATGGATCATTTTTGGTGTCTGGAGGTGATGCTGATCTCTGGCGAGAGGGAGGTGCTCTTGTTCCATTTTTCCATGCCAAGGAGCCTGTTGACCATTGACATCCCCGATTGTGTTGCTGGCATGTCTGCACATCTGCATGGGGTTCCCTTTTACCTTTCTACTGAGGTGGTATCTGTTCTGGAGTTTTTACAAATAGGCTCGGCTACTTTCTACTTTCCCAGTAGAAGAAGCATAATGTGACGATTCTCTTTGCCCCCCCCCCCCCAACCATTGTGTTTATATCTTTTGTTTGGGTTTTGTCATTATCATTCCAATGGTCCGCAGTGTTCATTATCTGTTGCCCCATTTATTTCTCTTTTAAGAACAAAGAAGGAAAATTCCCCAATGGCTGCCAGATATTAATGATTTACATAATCTCAACAATAGAACATTTGACCTTTTTAAAGATGAGATGATTATTTTAGGACTTGATAGCTAATTTTCTGTCCTCCAGATACTTGAATGGGTTGATAGAGTTGTAATGCAATTTTGAAATCCTAAAGAGGTCTTGAGTGGGGAGGTAGGAGCGTGTGAGATAGAAACGGAAATGTGTTATATGGTCAGTGTGCACTCATATAATGCAGTTTAACTTGAATTGCATTAACAACTTCATGTAGGCCCCTTCTATACTGCCATAAAATCCAGCTAACAATCTGGATTTTATATGGCAGTCTAGAAGGGGCCTTATGAGTGTATACTGGCTGTATAATACAGTTCCAAACTGCAATATATGGTCATGTGGGTGGGCCTAGAGATGGATGCTATGCTACTAATGTGGAATTTTAAAGTTGCAGTCTCAAAATAAAGCTTTGGGTGGAATTATTAATCTATATAAATAAAAATGTAATGTTTGTTTGTGGGATTAACATAACTCAAAAACCACTGGATGAACTGACACCAAATTTGGACACAATACACCTATTAGGCCAAAGAGTGGCCGTCACTCATAAAAACACTGAAAAACACAGCGGAAGGGACTTAAAAACCCAAAAAACAAAACCTGTATTACAATGCATGCACAAAACCACATATATACACAAACACACATATATACACATATACACAAATATATACACACACATACACACACACACAAAACACATATACACAGACTGGGCCACAGCAACACATGGCAGAGGATGGCTAGTGATTAATAAATAACTATTTTAAAGTGATGATTTTTGCCCAATTAGTTCTCCATTTTCTTCCGTTATGACTGGGGTTGGAAACTTACTTTTTTCATGTCAAGAGTGACTTGAGAAACTTCAAGTTACTTCTGGTGTGAGAGAATTGGCCATCTGCTAGGATGTTACCCAGGGGACGCCCGGATGTTTGATGTTGATGTGGGAGGCTTCTCTCATGTCCCCTCATGGGAAGCTGGAACTGACAGACAGGAGTTCATCCACGCTCCCCCAGCATTCAAACCTCTGACCTGTTGGTCTTCAGTCCAGCCGGCACAGGGCTTAACCCATTGCACCACTGGGGGCTCCTACTGCCTTCCATTGATTACAGGTCTGCAACCTCCTTCATGCATTTCCTGAACTATGTTCCATAGGAACGATGGGAATTAGAGTCCTAAATATCTGGAGGACCATTGGCTCTCTTACTGCCATAGCTGGGAGATAAAATTCCTTCCAGTCATTGTTTGGGAAGGATTGGCCCAAATCACACAGCAAGTTCCTCTGGAGTTGTAAAGAACGCAAGGTTTTAAAAATGCCCTCCATACATGCAGTCAGTGTCACACTCCTAGCAACTGGTTCTCTCTATTCAGCTGTCTTAGTGGCGCACTGTTCCTTCCCAGAACCAAAGCTGTTGGAATAAAAAGAAGGGGAGGAGGCTTGGTGAGTGGTACCAATAGCATGCCTTTGCTCCCTGTTCATGAAAAGATCCTATTCTGCCTCTTAAGTGTATTTTTCTTCCAGCTGCTCTTTCCAGTGGGGCCGGAGGATGCCTTGGGCTTTGAAGCAACCCTCCTCCTCCTCCTCCTCCTCCTCCTTCTCCAGCCTTCCTGTCTGTCACCAGAGCGAGGCCTCCTTTTGTGCCAATTAAACAGGACATTCATAATGGTGGCAGCACCAGCCCCTGTCTTGAACTGAACCCATGCCTGTTTCCATTTGGCCTGGAAGCTGTGATAACATCCGCTTTGACAGCCACACAGACGATTGCCGCCTCCGTTTGCGGCACTTGCGTGGGGCTTTTGCACATTAGACAGGAAGCAGCAAGGCTGTGTGCAGGGTTTTTTTTGCTGCATTTGGGTCATACAAACACATCCAAAGGAGCAAAAAAAGAAATGAGTTTTGTTTGTTTTTTTTAAAGCATGGGGCAGTCATTTCAAGGAAGGCCAACTCTAGGGCCGACTTGCCAAGTGGCAGGGAAGCAGCTGTCATTCATGGCTTGTTTAGTTTTGTTTGTTGTGATTCTTCGCTACCTTTGCATCTTACATTTTCTTCAAAAAAAAAAAAGCTCCTCCACTTTGCCACATTATCCTCAGAACAACCATGTAGGTGTGGAAGAAAAACTGGAGCAACTTCTGCACTGTCATATGTAGAGCACTATGTAACAAAATTTGAAACATTTTCTGTTCCTGGTTTGAAAGTGCTCTTTCCTGTTTAATTGTGTGGTCCTTACATGATCCTGGTGGTGCAGGGGTTAAACCGCTGAGCTGCTGAACTTGCTGACTGAAAGGCTGGCAGTTTAAATCCAGGGAGCAGAGTGAGCTCCCGCTGTCAGCCCCAGCTTCTGCCTACCTAACAGTTTGAAAACATGCAAATGTGATTAGCTCACTTGGTACTGCTTCTGTGGGAAAGTAATGGCGCTCCATACAGTCATGCTGGTCACATGACCTTGGAGGTGTCTACGGATAACACTTGCTCTTCAGCTGAGAAATGGAGATGAGCACCACCCCCACCACCCCGAGTCAGACACGACTAGACTTAATGTCAGGGCAAACCTTTACCTTTACCTTACTTTGAAAGTAGTTGTTCTACTCCAGAAACTTCGTATTTGTGGCTGAATTGGTTGAGACTCGATGGTGTGAGAGAATTGGCCAGAGAATTGGAAACAAAACTCATTTCTTTTTCTGCTCCTTTGGATGTGTTTGTATTCATTGAAAAACTAGAGCAACATGTGCTGTAGCAGGATATCCCTCCCGCAAAGACAAAGTTTGTGCAGTTTAATAAACCTACTCCATGTTTTTTTTATAGATCCAATTAGGAAATGACATTTCTAACCCAGGAACAAAAATTATGTTACATAGCATATTATATTGCTGGGTTGTACACCTTTTGCGTTCCTCCCAGGAAGCACAACTACCAGTACTTTATTGCTCTTTTACACACTTTGGCTGGATCTGTATCTCAGAACCTATCTGCTTATTCCAGATTATCTGGCAGTGTAGACTAATATAATCCAGTACAAAGCAGATAATCTGGGATCAGATTCTAGGACATACAGCAGTGTAGATCCAGCCTTCATCTTACGTCCAACTCTCTTTCTTGGTCTAGCTTGGTTTTAGAACTGTTTAACAGTGGAACTTACTGCCTAGGAGTCCAGTGGAAGCACCTTCTTTGGAGGCTTTTATACAGAGGCTGAATCACCATCTGTTGGGGTGCTTTGATGTTGCTTTTCCTGCATGGCCTCATGGGGTTGGACTAGATTGCCTTTGGGGGGGGGTCTCTTCCAATTCTAGGATTCTAAGAGGAAGAGGGGCTCTTCTCATCTTCTCGTATGTCATTCGGATTTCTTAATACACCGATTTAACAACGGATGTTATAAATAGTCAACAAATAATGATACTAATGGGAAAGATAGTAGGTAAGATTGTACTGGCTTTTCCCCAAAGAAATGGGAAATTGTTGTTTCCATTTGATGTTTGATGTTTTATCTTATGTCTGCTATAACAGGCTGTGCTTTTTATCTAATTTTAGTTTGTTAAGTTATAATTCGTATTTATTTGTTGGGTTGTATAAATTTTGTTAGCATGGATGTATTTTTGCTGTATTTGGGCAATGAATGTTTGCCTTTTATGTTTGGAATCCACACTGAGTCCCTTTGGGGAGATAGAGCAGAATATAAATAAAGTGTTGTTGTTGTTGTTGTTATATTACTGGTTCCCACATCAGCTCTGTTACTTCCCACTGGAGGTGCTGAGTATAACTGCTTGAAGTCTAGGGGTAACGTAAATAGAGGATGAACAGTTATGACCCTCCTGCATTGGCATCCTCCCTGACATGAAAGCCTTTTAGATATTCAGATAATTTCCTTCACTATAGGATGCCTTTCTTATGGCTAGTGCAGACATGGGTAAACTCTGGCCCTCCAGGTGTTTTGGACTTCAACTCCCACAATTCCTAACAGTCCATAGTGGGAGTTGAAGTTCAAAATACCTGGAAGGCCGAAGTTTGCCCATGCCTGGGCTAGTGGGACATATCTGGAAGATGATGAGATTGAAGAATACTGTGCTAGAACTGTTTTGCATATCTAGATAGACCTGCTGGGGCTGAAAGTAATCAATTTTTCTCTGTATTCTTGCAGGACCAACCTCTCAGTCCTTACAAAGGCTTGGAAACCCAGGTTAGTACTTGATTTTGAGATTTCTTTTAAAATTATCCTTCATGCTGCTGAATGCCCCGGTCAGCTCCTTCCCATGAAAGCCCCCCGACGGTAGCTTGGCTCTGTCATTCCCTCTTGACTGTGTTGCATTGAAAAGAGTACGTTTTGTCAGATCGACGGACGTCATTTCCACCTTGGAGGCGAAAGCAAACTATTTATACTCCACTCTCTTGCATCCCTTTTTTTGTTCATGTCCCCAGACAGATGGTTTGCCAGGAAGCAAACGGTTGTGTGTGTTTTTGCAGACTTCTTCCTAAAACATAAAAAATGCATGGTGTGTCAGACAAGGCTGTCACTTCAAAGGTCAGAGCTTTGGGAGAGGATTTGACAAAGTCACCGAGAGACAGCTTCGATTTGTGTTCCTTAGCATGGCGACGTCATTGACTTCCCTTCTTCTTTTTGACTTTTGTGGGCTGGGTGAGCAGTGATAGTTAACAGGCCTGTGCGATGAATGAAAACAGTGGCTGAATACTCATTACGAAATTAGGAGGTTGCGGGGGATAGTTTTTAAAGTGTTTCTGAAATTGGACATGTTTCCAAAGCTGTTTTAATGTCATTCAGGTCATTGAATCTGAAACCAGGTAGGTTGTCTTTCAGAGGTCCAGACAGGTAAAGATCAGAAGAAGCCAAATCAGGGCTTTAAAACAGCTTTATAATCATGGGTCGCGAAGCAAAATCCTGAATTTTTCCTAAGTGGTTTTGATGCCTGGGTTAGACAATGGTGCAAATGTGTCCAAATTGATGGTGACTATGCTGAACAGTAGTTTTGGGTTTAGGCTATGATCTGGAGCAACTTCTGCTGTTATATCTTCACACAATGTTTTTATGACAATTTAGAGTGATGGAGGCATTACTTTTTGACCCACACTCATATCTTTGCATGCACACAGTTGTCTGTAGTAGTAGTCCTCGAATAGTTTAAAAGACCAGAATGGCCAGTCAAGAGACCTTTCTCTTTTTCCACAGACTGCAAATTACATTATGTAACACACTTTGGAAAATGTTCTGTTTCTGGTTTTAACGTGTGATATCCTGTTTAATTGTGAGGTACTTACTTTGAAAGTAGTTTTTCAACTCAAGAAATTTCATTTTTGTGGCTGCCACAAACTAGGCTGAATCGGTTAAGACTCTAGTGATTCATTAAAGAACTAGAGCAAAATGTGCTATGGCAGAATATCTCTCCTGCAAAAACAAAGTTTGTGCAATTTAATAAATCTTTTCCATGTTTTTATGATGGAACCAATTAGGAAATAACATTTATAACCCAGGAACAAAAAATCGTGTTACAGACTGTTATCTTTATTCAGCCCTGTCAGTTTGCCTTCCTTTACCCAGATGTTGGAATAATAATAATAATAATAATAATAATAATAATAATAATAATAATAATAATAAAGAATTGGTGGGATCACAAGCCTGAAAAAGTTACAGAAAATGTAAACTACTCTGGGACTTCCGAATTCAGACTGACAGAGTTTCAGAGCACAATACTCCTGACCTCTCGATCGTGTTAAAAAACAAAATATGCATCGTTGATGTTGCAATCCAAGGCAACTGCAGGATTGAAGAGAAACAACTGGAAAAGCTAACATGATACGAGGATTTGAAGATCGAACTGCAAAGACTCTGCCACAAGCCAGTAAAGGTGGTCTCAGTGGTGATCGGCACACTAGGTGCAGTGCCTAAAAACCTTGGCCACTTAAACACAATTGGTGCTGACAAAATTATCACCTGTCAGCTGCAAAAAGCCACCCTACTGGCATCTGCACACATTATTTGCCAATACATCACACAGTCTTAGACACTTGGGAAATGTCTGACGTATGATCCAATACAACAGCCAGCAGAGTGATCTTTTTTGCTGTGTAGTAATCTTGTTGTGTTTCAAATAATAATAATAATAATAATAATAATAATAATAATAATAATAAGTAGTAGTAGTAGTAGTAGTAGTAGTAGTAGACTTCAATGTGCATTAATTCCTTCATAAAGTGATGATTGGTTGTATACATTTTTGTAGTTTTTAGGGGGAAAAGGGAGCAAAATAAACTCTGCTTAATACACATGCACACACTTGAAAGTAGGAGCCCCCGGTGGTGCAGTGGGTTAAAGCACTGTGCCGGCAGGACTGAAGACCGACAGGTCGCAGGTTCGAATCCGGGGAGAGGCGGATGAGCTCCCTCTATCAGCTCCAGCTCCTCATGCGGGGACATGAGAGAAGCCTCCCACAAGGATGATAAAAACATCCAATCATCCAGGCGTCCCCTGGGCAACGTCCTTGCAGACGGCCAATTCTCTCACACCAGAAGCAGTTGCTCCTGACACGACCAAAAAAAACCCCTTGCTTTTAAATAACTGAGAAGTCTGTCGCTCAGCATATTGAGAGCTGCAAACAATGACACTTCTGAGTATCTCTAAACCAGGATTTGCTGTGTATTTGCCAGTTTCTTTTATCTTCAGCGTGCTACAGAAGATGAGAAGAACATTTCCTTTACTTCTTAGACAGCAGTGGTGAGACAGAGGCAAAGCAATTCAAATGCAGAAGCTGAGATTGAGTTGGCCTTACTTGGGAGACAGAACCCATTTCTTTTTTGTCTTGTGTTATTGCAAAAGGCCCACAAGAGGTGGGATTGTGAAAAAGAAGAAAGCACCATTCGGGGTGTTGCTGCCTCTTGCATTGCTTCACCATATTTCTCATATTCACAGCTGGCAGCGGGAAAGAAAAGCTTCTATGGCTCTCGCACAATCCCTGGATCCAGTCCAGATTCCAGCAGCTGCATACTTGTCTATCAGGGTGCTTTGAGAAGCATCCGGTCGTTGGGTGAACCTTTGCCAGTTTTACAATGTTGTTTGATAAATTGGTGGATACAAGAGAAAGGACCAGAAGCCTGGCACTGAGGAAGAAGATCAAAATAGGATTTAATGGACTCCTTGTCCTTTTTTCTGCTCACACCTTGCTTTGTTGTTGTCGTTTTGCTCTCCTTGGTGCTGCCAATATAGGTGGACAATAGAAAATGCCAAACTGGAGTTCTTGAAAAATTAGAGGCTTTGAACTGTGGCAGTTTTGGAAAGGAAAGAGTAGATATGAAGAATCTGACTTCATTTCTGACTTCTGCCCCATTTATGAAAGTAGCATATTGTACTAAAGAAAGTTGTAGTTCTTTTAGTCTTTTGTAGCCCTTTCACTGATGTTGATCTTCATCTGACTGGAACTGATAGGTGTTGGTGTCCAGCAACATCTCGTGACCTGTTTATCCACCTGATCTGATTCATCAATATATACCAAGGCTATCTGTCCCCTGCCATACATTCTTGTGGCCTGGTTATCTGGAAAATAAAGTAATGAGAAAGTGTTGGTTTCTAAAATATGTAATTTCTTGATGCTTGTGGGTAAACAGTATTTCTTGTTGGATTTTTTGTCAGTGTTGATGTAGAGATTGTTTGGTTTGCCTACTCTGGAACATGCAACATATAATTGTCCTTCTTTAGGGGGCCCTTTCAAATCTATGATACTATATCTGTCATATGCATATATATGTGTGTGTGAATCATGTATATATCTATCTTTATCTATGGCTGGATGACTCTTTATCAAGAGGGCTTTGATTATGTTTTCTTGTTGTGGTGAAGGGAGTTGGACTGGATGGTCTTAAAGCAGCATTTCTCAACCCACCCACCCATGGGAGGGGGTTGTGAAGGGGGTGTCAGAAGGGTCACCAAAGACCACCAGCAAACACAGCATTTTCTGTTGGCCATGGGGGTTTTGTGTGGGAAATTTGTCCCAATTCTATCTGTGGTGTTCAGCATGCTTTTTGATTGTAGGTGAACTAAATCCCAGTAACTTCAACTCACAAATGTCAAGGTTTGTTTTCTCCAAACTCCATCTGTGTTCATTTTTGGGCATATAGAGTATTCCAGACAAATGTGGTCTAGATCCTTCATTGTTTGAGTCCACAGTGCTGTCTGGATGTAGGTGAACTATAACTCCAAAACTCAAGGTCAATGCCCACCAAACACTTCTAGTGTTTTCTGTTGGCCATGGGAGTCCTGTGTGCCAAGTTTGCTTCAATGCCATCGTTGGTGGAGTTCAGCGTGCTCTTTGATTGTAGGTTAACTATAAATCCCAACAACTACAATGCACAAATAACAAAATCCTTTTTTTTTAGGTTAGTAGGTGTCTTGTGGCCAAATTTGGCGGCAATTCATCCAGCAGATTTTGAGTTATGATGTCATAACATACAATATGTTTGTAGCCCCATATACACTGCTATATAATGCAGCTTCGTAATGCAGTTGAACTGCATTGAACTGCATTATCTGGCAGTGTAGACTAGGGTTGTGCATTCAGGGTAAATCTCGACCCGTTTTGTGTCCCAGTTTTCGGTGGGGGCCCCGATTCATTTTTGGAGCCTCCCAAAATTGAGAAGGCAGATACCTGTTTTCACTCTGAGGTGCCAAAAGATCAGCCCATTATGGGAGGGGGGAAGGCTTCCCAGGCTCCCTTTCCCATCATTTTAGGTATTTAAGTTCTACTCTAGAGGAGAGATGTTCAGCTGCAGACAGGCATTCTTTAAGAAGGCTTCTTACATGTTTGTCACTCTACAGGAGTATTTCTCAACCTTCTTAATGTTGAGACCCCTTAATACAGTTCCCCAAACATAAAATTATTTTCGTTGTTACTTCATAACTGGAATTTTGCTACTGTTATGAATTGTAATGTAAATATCTGGTATGTGGGATGTATTTTCATTCACGGGACCACATTTGGCACAAATACCCGATAAGCCCAAATTTTAATACTGGTCCAGTTTGGGGGGGGGGGAGTTGTAGTTGCTGGGATTTATACGTGGTTCACCTATAATCAAAGAGCATTCTGAACTCCACCAATGATGGACTTGAACCAAACTTGGCACACAGAACTCCCAGGACCAGCAGAAAATACTGGAAGGGTTTGGTGGACA